CACTCAATTATTTTCCATAAAATTTCCCTCCCTGACCACAATACTAATGAAATTAATGCTGTTGCAGTCAGGGCTTTTAATATCTCATTCATGTCTGTCTATATTCCCCACCCACATCACTCCCTCATTCCTGAGCTTAATCTATTGTTTTCTAGTATTACCTCCCCTCTCATGATCTTTGGGGACTTTAATAGTCACCACACTGCTTGGGGTTCCTATAAAAATGACACATTCTCCTATCTTTTATTAGACATCTTTGATGAGTTTAATATATGTTTCCTCAACGATGGATCTCCGACACGTAGATCTTTCCCTCTCCAGGATACAAGACGAGCTGTGGACATTACTTTGTGCTCTCCAAGCCTAGTGCCCAGTTCTTCTTGGAGGACTCTGCCATATACTTTCGGAAGTGATCATTTCCCCATACTCGTTTCTGTAACAAGCAGCTGCACTCCATCGAAGCAACACTCTTCTCTATTAAAATTTAACACCTCTAAGGCTGACTGGGACAAGTATGGTCAATGTCTGGATTTAGAGCTACAGTCCCTGCCCAGTGTTGGGGATTTATCTCTTCAAGAAACCTATTCCAGATTTGTAGCATCAATCAATTCTTCCGCAATGGCCTCTATCCCCCTTAAAAACTCACCTCGGAGCCTAATCTCTTCCCCTCCATGGTGGGATCACGAGTGTACTACTATTGTTACTAAACGAAAAGAAGCTGAAATCCAGTATAACAGCTCTATGACCACAAATAACTTTTTACACTACCAGAATGCAGCGGCCCAAGCCAAACGGCTTCTTTCAGAGAAGAAAAAATCCATATAATTTCCATAGTTTGTGATATTTCTTTTTTTCATTCAAGACTTTCCTTAGGGGCTTAGTATGCCATACAGGGCAGGATTCCGAGGATCTGATAATTTTTCGAGGAACAAATTTCGCAATAACATTTCTTAAGATTTCATAAAATTTTGATACACATTCATCTAAGTTTAAAGTTTCAAATAATTTAAGCCAGTTTATATTTTTCAGTTCATTGTTAAGGCAGTCGAAATCTGCTGCATGAAAATTATAACTGTAGGTAGGAAATGAATTCAAAGTTTTAAAATTATCAATATTCAAACAAATTTCAATTGACTTATGGTGGGCATCTTCCTGGGTTAAGGGTTGAGAGCAACTCATGACTTTACAAGTAATATTACTCATCACTAGGTCCAAGATTCGATTATTGACATTATACGCACCATTAAACTGTTGCAAATTAGTGAACGCTAAAAAATCTCTCAATGCTTTTACAGCAAAGTCTCCACCTTTTTGCAACAATTTACTGAAGGTAGGAGTCCCCTGCCACACCGCTTCAGAAACATTAAAATCGCCTACAATCAAAAATATGTCATTTGGTCGATCATTAAATATATCACTCGCACAATTAAAAAAACCTTCCAGCGCGTCACGGTACCCCGGCCCGTGCGGTATATAAATGCAGGCGATATTTAGGTATTTATTATCTATATTTAAAGGTATAGATAACCAAACGCAGTCGGAAGCGGCGCGCGGTGGGGTAGGCCAGTTACGACGCAACGGCATCAATTTAGTGCGCACTGCCACCATCACTCCGCCGCCACGCGTCGCACCGCTCTCCTCATGCGAGCGGTCACAGCGAAACACTACATACCTGCTATCAAAATATTCTCTGTCATAGAAATCGGGTGTCAACCAGCTTTCGGTCACACATATAAAATCGTAGTCAGTCGCAGCTATTTGGGATAGAAAATTATGAGATTTCGTACGTAAGCCCCTTACATTCTGATAGTAACCTAACAGAAGTTTAGCTTCCGGATACATTGCGATTAATTATTATAAACACATATTTATTTTTCGCCATTTGATTATGACATATAATATAGTAATTAGGATTGATTAAATTAAAATATGGGATGTTATTAAGTATAATTGAATATAAATATTTTGGCGGACGAGAGCTTTGCATACGAATAGACAAAATAGTTCTAACCACATCACTGAACAAAAAATCACAAATACAGTATAAACACATCACAGCAAAGTAACTCATGAATTTATCAGCCACGGTAGAAAACCTAAAATGCGGCTGTTTAACTCTTAAGTATATAAAATTATAGATTAAGAGTCACTTTAACTTTGATATGTCGACATCGTTCTTAATAACAATGACCTTTGATCTTTCGTTTTTACGTATCAATATTTTACAATCTCTAACCCATAAATAAGAATAGCCTAAATCAGTTTTGATCTGTCTGGCACGTTTTAATAATTGTTTATTTTGAGGGGTGAGATGATCAGATACATACAGATTTAGCGAGGGACCCGAGAGACCAACATCAGCAGTAGTTAGGCCACGTCGCGAGCGCACCGCTGCGAGAAATGCATCCTTACACAGCCGTCGAGTAAATTTTACAATAATGGCCGGCGGACGCGGATTGCTTGTTTCCCCAGACACACCCGCCTCGAACCTTCGCACACGCGTGACACCATCGATGTCACGGTCGTCCAGTGAGTGCCCAATCTTAATTGAAATGGCCCGTAATATACCCATGAGGTTTTCACCAGCAGTAGTAGGTATCCCGGATATTTCGATATTGTTCATCCTACCTAATTGATCCCGCTGCTGTAACTCGTTTTCCAGAACCGATATTGAACTTTTAGCAGAATCTAAGTCTTGTTTTAGCCTAGGAATCAGAGCAGTCTTGTTTTCGGTGGCTGTTAATCTGTCTTCAATGTTACTAAAGCGCGATTCCATTTCGGCAAATTTTTTGTTTAATTCTTGTATACTGTTAGTTACCTTTTGGATATCACACCTCATGCCGACAAAATCGCTTCTAAATGCTCGTAGTTCTTGTAAGACGTCAGAAATATTTGCATCTGTAATATTCAATGAACCCGTTACTCCATCTACAGCGCTATTAGAGGCACTGTTGGAAGTCAGATTGTCATCGGTCTTGGCCGGGCGCTGCTCGAATATGTTTAATGGCGGTATAGGTGTTCACCGTCATGTTTAAACACTTATAGTGATGGTTGCCTTTACAGGTAGCACAGGTTAATACCTCACCTCTGTTTATCCTACCGTTACAAGCCAAGCAATTCATTGTAATAATAAAATAAGAATAAATATATTTATATGTAATTTGTGATTGCCGAAATGTCTTATTTTACTCCTTCTCTAATATAAGCCTCTGAGCGGTTGAGCGCTGTACGTGACGCGTCTGCGTTATATGCTCTTTGTCGGTTGACGTAGCGAACGGAGTGACCACACAAAGCAAGGGCTCGCACGCAATTATCGCACTTAGGCTACACGCACAGAAGCAGCGGAACGGCGAATTTCACTTGTGGAGCGCGAGCACACAAATCGTTCGCGGGTAGTTTAGGCAACACGACCCTTTGCACTTTTTGTTCAAATCTATTAAAAATACACTCGTTAATGCACTAAAAACTGATTATTTAATGATTTGAATAGTTAAAATCAATTAATTTACAAATTGAATAAAAAAACTTGCAATATTTACACAACAAAATAATAATTTTCGAGGAGCACTTAAAAAGACTACTGTGTCAGAATACCGTAGCGGCAAAGATTCATGTTGGCTCGATGGTTTTGTGAACAAGCTATGCCCTCCATGGGTCCCCAGTCAAGAGGAGGCTTCTGCATTTGCTGCCGCCTTGGCTTCTCCAGATCGTATGAATGACCCATTCTCGTTCTCAGAACTGCTCCTAGTTTTGGACCAACTTAAGGACTCCTCCCCAGGAGTAGATGGAATACCATATTCCTTCTTGAAAAATGCGAGGACTTCTGCTAAGATGACATTTTTAGAAATTATTAACTCCATATTCCTCTCAGGGTATCCTCCGGAGGAATGGAAGACGCATGTGGTTATCCCTATTTTGAAACCAGGCAAAAATGCTACAGACTCTTCCAACTATCGTCCCATTGCGTTATCCTCTACCCTAGCGAAAATCATGGAGCATCTTATTAAAAATCGGTTGGAGTGGCTCTTGGAAAATAGAGATATTTTAGCTAAAAGCCAGTTTGGTTTTAAGAAGGGTAGCGGCACTATGGATAGCATAAGTCTCCTGGTCTCTGATATTCGCCTGGCCTTCTCAAAGAATGAGTCTCTGATTGGTGTTTTCTTGGATATTTCCGCTGCTTATGATAGTGTGATTCTTCCCCTGCTCAGGCAAAAAATGCATCAGCTGAGCATCCCGGTAAGATTGACCAATTTCATTTTTAATCTCTTCTCGTGTAGGACATGCTTGTTTCGTTTCCAAGGAAACTTTGTCGCATCAAGGAACGTCTGGAGGGGCCTTCCGCAAGGATCTGTTCTCAGTCCTTTGCTGTACAATATTTATACGTATGATCTGGAGAGATCAGTGAACAGTTTTTGTAGTATCCTCCAATATGCTGATGATCTGACTATTTATGCCCACGGCTCATCATTGGATGACATCGGTCTCCGTCTGAATACTGCTTTACAGTACTTAGGCGATTGGCTAACTGACCATGGTCTTTCTTTGTCTGCCCCTAAAAGTGGTGTAGTGGTTTTTTCCCGGAAAAAGTTTACCCCACAAGTTCCAGTCAATATCCTAGACCAGCGTATAACAATCTTTGACAATTTCAAATTTCTGGGGCTCATACTAGATTCCAAATTGACGGGCGTCCCTCATTTAAACTTTATTGCCAAAAAGTGTGAGACTAACATTAATATTCTCCGCTCCCTGTCAGGCACTTGGTGGGGTTCCCACCCATTCTGTCAAAAAATATTGTACAATGCCATAATCCGTAGTCACTTTGACTACGGCTCGTTTTTATTGGAACCGTGTCATAAAACTGCCCTCAATTTGTGGGACAAAATCCAATCAAAGTGTCTCCGTCTCATCATTGGAGCCATGAAGTCTACACCAATAAATGCTCTCCAGGTTGAGTGTGTGGAACCCCCTCTCTTTTTAAGAAGGCAGTTTCAAGCTGATAGATTTTTGTACAAGGTGGCGCAACTATCTCCTCACCCTCTTCTGGCCAAGCTTCACGAACTGTCTGATCTAACTAGATCTTCTAAATATTGGCAAATCAAAGATATACCCTGCATTCTTAAAAGTTACCACAAATTTATCAAAATCAATTCTCCCGTTTTCCAATGCGCTAAAAATCCCCTTTTTTCTTGTCTTTATGATGTAATAATATTTAAACCTGAGATAATCTTGGACTTTGGTATTTACAAAGATTCCCCTGCTGCAGACAAACAGTTTAATAAGGCCTTGGCTAAGGACTGGCAGGGCTGGTTGACTATGTATACGGATGCTTCCAAGCTGGCTGCTGATGGTTGTGTCGGTGCGGCTGTATGGATCCCAAAATATGAAATTATTCTGAACTGTAAATGCCCATCTCAGGCATCAATATTCACAGGAGAATCTACTGCCCTACTTGAAGCTCTCAGTTATGTTGAATCTCACAAACTGAACAAAAGTATAATTTTTTCAGACTCAAAAAGCTGTTTACAGGCTATTCTGGCAAACCAATTTGTTAGTAAAAGTAAATTCCATAATATCCTGAAGATCAAGGAGGTCTTGTATCAATGCCATAGTAATAACATTCAGGTTGTATTGGCGTGGATTCCAGGTCATAGCGGGATCCAAGGCAATGAAACCGTAGACATACTGGCGAAAAACGCTATCCAAACAGGTTGCCTTAATCATTATAGGACATATACCTATGACCTCCTGCCTTTAGCTACCAATGATATGTTTTCCTCATGGAGCAATGAGTGGAATAAAATCAAGCTTATCAAGGGCAAGTACTATGCTGATATCCAAATAAGTATCCCCAAAAAACCTTGGTTTTTTAACCTTAAAAGATTCAGTAAATCTGTAACTTCTACGATATGCCGACTTCGCCTTGGTCATGCCTGCACCCCGGTCCATCTGGCAAAACTTAGAATACGGGATAACTCAATTTGTGAATGTGGCCTAGATGAAGGTACCCCAGACCATATATTTTTCAGCTGCCCTTCCAGAACTTGTTCCATCTACGATAGTCTTCCACCGTCCATTCCGCGTCCCGTAAATTTCCAGTTTCTGCTATATGTCTTTTCAAATCCTCTACTGAAATTAATTACTGATTTTATTAGTATTAACAAACTTAAATTATAACACTATTTATTTTTATTTTATTTATATCATTAATGGTGATGGTACCTATATTGTGTCGTGTTGTATTGTTTCAGAATTGGAATAGACTAAAGAGCAGCGTTAAATGTTTAAACATTGGAAAATAAATAAAAGTGTAACTCCCATGACTGACTAGACATTGGCAAAATTCTAAAAGAGAAGCCATCCTTCTTTTTAAAAATAGAATAGAATAGAAACCCAAATAAGATACAGATTCCTGGAATAGCGTGCACTTATTTATCTGTAAAACCAATCCGGCTCGTTCCAACCTCATAAATACATTATGCAACCTTTTCAGGTGTTCTTCCGCGTTCCGCGAACCGATTACTAGAATGTCATCTTGAAACACTAACACACCGTCGATTCCTGAAAGAATTGGCTCGAAATATGGCCGCGGAGCTGGACAACCCGAATACTAACCTTGTGAACTTGAATAGCCCTTTATGTGTATTAATGCCTGTTAGCATTTGCGATTCCTCAGTCATTGAAACTAACTGGTAATATGCGTTTTTTATTTTTTTTGATGGGGGGAAATCTTTATGGATACCCCTGAGCCCAGGGAGACTCAGGGGTTATGTGGGGACTCTCCCTCCGGATTGGAGGGCCTACCCCACTAAAACCCCCCGGGTTTCCCTCTCGCCGGTTGAGTCGGCGCCGTGGGATCGGTGAACATTCACCACGACGCCGCCCGGCCGCCCTAGCTTGCGCCAGGGCTCCCGGGCGCCAACGGAGGGGCGAGTCGGTTGTCGTCCGACCCGCCCCCCAGACGAGTGAGGCCGTGCAATGCAGGCTCCGGAGTCCCTGTCCAGAGCCCGCTGGCCTCACTAGGGGATCAGGCGAGCAGCGAACTGCCTTCGCCTTCTCCCCGTACGTCTGCGCCGAAGCGGGTGCGCGTCTGCCGCGTCCTCGCGCACCCGCTCCGCGGCCTCCACTTGCGACATAACCTCTGCGCAAAAGGAAGCCACCGCCTCCCAGGACTCCTCGCTATCGAGCATGGCGGCAACCACGCTCGGCAGCGAGAGGTCCTACTGGTAATATGCCTGCGACAAGTCCAGTTTTGAAAACTTTTGTCCGCCGTGTAGTTTAGCAAATGACTCCTCGATTTTGGGCAGGGGGGTACTTATCAATAACCAGTTGTTAGTTTAACGGAATAGTCAGCATATAAACGTATATCGCAGTTACTTTTTAACACGGGTACTATAGGGCTAGCATAGTCTGAGCTACCAACGGATTCTAAAATACCTATTTTTACCAATCTATTCAACTGCTTTCAACTTTTTCTTTTAATGCAAACGGCACCTGGCGTGCTTTAAAAAAGTCGCTTTTTGAATTTGGCTTGACATATAAATTGATTTTTTTATAACAGCCTAATTCACTCGAAAACAACTTAGTATACTTAATCGTCATTTGCTCCATATAGTCTGTGAAATTGTTAATCGCTGCAATTTGTAAATTAAATTTAGAAATAAAGTCCCTGGCTCGGGCCACTACTCTTGACAACATACAGCTGTATATCTTCAGTTTTAGCCCCGTAGGTGAAAGGCAAAGTGAGGGTGCTTTATGGCACAATGTTGCCACCATTGTAACTTAGCAATAGTATGTTGCTCGGCATTAACTTCATTGATTTATAATCAGCACAGAGTACTAAAGAAACCGACTTCAAAAGTACGTGGAATGAAACTTAGCAAATAGTACGTCTATTTGCTAAGTTTTATTGAAATATCCGCTAGTTCGCCACTATGCAGGACTTGACACTGGAGATAATAAAAATCGGTTCTCACTACTCAAAGTATATTGAGAGAAAAACGCCTTGAATTGGAGAAATAGCAAAATCAACCATTAAAGTAATGGCTCCTAAATTAAAGTTAGGCGCTATTTATAAAAATGAATCTTCATGCGTAAGCAGTCGCCCTTCGAGGTGGATGATTTTCTTCAAAATGAAATGGGACCACTATGGAAGTACCCCCTTTCCAACAAAAAAAGAATCATGAAAATCGGTTCTCAAATACCGAAGTTATCGCGTAACATACATACAAAAAAAAAAAGAACGTACAGTCGAATTGAGAACCTCCTCCTTTTTTGAAGTCGGTTAAAAATACAAAATGAATATTTTCTCTGGAATTATCGTTACCGCCGAGCCAGTATCTAATTCAAAATTGATTTTAACTTTATTCACTAGTACAGATTCTCGCATCGGCTCACCACTAGTGGACGAAATGTTACAAATAACGTTACGCTTACCGTCATCGCCAACTTCACCCACCTCAACCTCTATAAAGTGTTGCCGCACTTTATTCCGTGTACACACGCGACGCAAATGTCCACGTTCAACGCATCTGTTGCACTGGTACTTCTTGAATTTGCACGAGTCTGCCCGATGGCAGAGAACAAATAAGTAACGAGAACGGACACTCTCCGCCCCTCCCTAGCTTTAGATACCGCACCACGCACCGCACATTGACGGTCACATTGACTGAACGAGAACAAGGCTGTCGGCGAGCCGTTTTCGCGCCAAGACGGCTTTGATATTTGAATAGTTTTCATTTATTAATTACGAAATTTGTAGGTTATTAAATAACATCATTTTACGTTACTATTTATAATGGTCGTGAATTGTGCTGTGTACGGCTGTTTATAATCATCTAAACGGGCAAAGAGAGGAGTTTCTTTCGTTTTGTGAAAGATGAAACGAAGTAAGTAAAAAACTTATGATTTATATGATTCTATAATAGAATTATAGATTACAGATCTGCGTTAGAATTTTCGCTATATTGCCGCTCTGATCACGTAACCTAATAAGTACGAGCTAGTGGCAGGGTACACATTTGCGCGTGTGCAGATAGCGCCTTGGCGTATGTAGTAGTAGTAGGTAAATAATTTTCGAACGTTGTATGGAGTGTCCGGGATGTGCCGATGGCCAACATAACCGCATACGTAACATGCGCCCGCGGCATCTTGCGGCCGGACCGGCTCGAAGCTCGCGCTACCCGCGCTGCCCGCGCGTTTGGCGCGGTGCAGCTGATTCCACCGCCAACTCGTAAACCGGCACTTCAACGCGTAGTACGGATATATATATATATATAGCTGAATAGCTTGAGCGGTGTCTAACGCTTTGCTCAGCGTTAGCTCTGCCAAGCCCATCGTAAACAGCTTGCCCCGTTCGGGTCCTTGTCGCATTCCAAGGACGGTCCCTCAAGAGTTCGTTAAGCCCGGTCGCCGGGAAGGCGCAGTCTGCTGCGAGCCCGCGCACGCTAGCTGCCCACGCTGACAACTCCTCCGACGGCCGTTGAGTCGATGTATAAAAACGATTTCGTTCCGCAAATCCGCATTTAGCGTCCTTAAGGTGATCGTCCAATAACTTTATTAACTCATCATACTCCAAGGTATTAATTTTATTTGGAAGAGCTAGGTCCCTAATTAATTTAAATGTGGTTTCCGTTAAACCGCTTAATAACACTGAACGCTGTTTCACTTTAGTTTTACCCTCCGTTTCTAAATCGTTGGCTAAAAACCATTGCTCTAGGCGCTATTTATACACATACCAGTCTTGCGTTTCATGGAAGCTACACAAGGAACCGACTGACACTTTCGCCATGTGTTACAATTTCACGCGCTTCAGTTCGACCTGTCGCCACTGTTAGAGGGGTTACACTGAGATCCGGGGGGTTACACCAAACGAAACACGTCTTTACCGATTGCAGTTTATTATCGTCTACCAACTTCCGAATGGTTCGTGTGGAACGCAGTGCACACGCAACAACTTCACTTAATATCTACACTGTATTAACTATTATGTCGCTGTATATGTTGCATTACAGATGTCGACCACAAGCAAGTGCAAGTGCCGTTTGCGAGCACTAATTATATGCAAAATACATGCATGCACCATGTATGTCTTCTTCTTTTAAATGTTATGGCTCAATCGAAATAATCAATGATTTTGCCAATGTCAAGCAAAAATAAGTATGTACGGTGGTTTAATATTATTATAAAAATTATACAAAAAAAATGGCGATTTCGCCAATGTCCTGTGAGAATATCGCATTCTTCTTCTTCTTTGTTTTGCTCAATGGCGGTTCCTTCTTTTTAAGATTTCGCCAGTGTCGAGTTTTCCGCTTAGTAGAATGTAAGGGTTACAAATCATTCTGAATTTGATTTGTTTTGTTCAAGCATAGACACAGGCAAGAAATGACCAAACGTCACTTTGACACATCACGAGATTGGCGACTTATTGGCTTTGGCGATAAATACCATACACTATGGTATTCGCTCTGGACCTTTTGGAGGGAAAAGTGTAGTTTTTATTTTGACTTTCAATTATTTTGTGAAATCTAGTTTAAAGTGGAATAGGATAGTGCTATTGTGCCTTAATCGAAGATTAAAACGCGAAATTATACGAATCTCGAACTAAAATACCCGTATCGGCCCGTTTTAAGGAATCCCGAGTCAATCCAAGCACGCCGCCTCAAATTGCCTATCCTCTTTGTGGCGGCCATATTTACAGAGACATAATTAAACTTCATGTTTAGGCTGATGGCTTTGCCAAAGCCTTAATAAATTTAAAAAAAAAAACCATACACTATGGAAATTATTTTTTTCCATCCTCTATATGATGAATACACTGGTTTGTTCGTTTAATTGCCTATTATTATTAGCTTTTGTTTTTCTTTTAAATTTTGTGACGATATTCTTTGTTTTCACTTAAAATTTCTTTTTGGCTTGCTAAGCACTTATGTTGTTTCATGTTGGCGGAAATTCGTAAATGGCATTGGATTTCTCGTATTATTTGTCCGTGAATTTTCCTAAAATGTATAAATGAATAATATGGTATGGTGCGTACGACTATAGACCGAGATGACCGACTGTGAGTTGGCTGTAGTTCAAATATTTATTTCAAACTTTTCAGAAGAATATCCAACGTTATTTTCGAACTATTTTTGTGTTACGGCAAGTCGAGGTATATAACAATAATCCAACCGCAGAGCCAGTATTTGCCAAAAGTGAGAGCATTAACATGGTAATCCCGGCTATATTTGGATCACAGCCAACTGATTCAATCTGTATGTAAACTACGTCTAAAATATTGTGTTGCGGTGTAGTACTTCATTACTATATCCACCAGGTTTTGGGCCATTGTACACCGCCGTGGCCCGATGCATTGAGATAAATGGCAAAAAGTAAAACCAATCAA